CTGGGCTGGCCTCCCACGCCCGCCTCTCACCAGCCCCTTCTCTCTAGTCAACACCAAAAGGTATTGATTTCCCTGAGCTGTTTCCCGGAGAACCGCATGCGCCCTCGGTCCCCCTCCGGGGCCCTCACCTCCCCTGCTCACAGCAGCTGCCCAGAGCCACGGGGTCCCCGGCTGCCCGCCGAGGCCCAGCCCTGCTTCCCTTGGCGCCGGTGTAAAGGTCAACGCGACTTTCCCCCCATTATTGCCCTGTGTCTTGTCACACAGACTCTGTTTCATGCATTAGTCACCGTCTTGCTATCAAATTAAATATTCCTCGGTGGTTATTTTTAGAGAAATCTTTTTCTAACAGTACGTGGCGCAGTGATGTGTGAGCACCCACAGCTCTGGAATCCAGCAGGAGCCGGCGGTCCGAGCCGCGTGAGGCTCCGGTTCCTGGGACAGCAGCAGCCCGGGCCGCCGTGGGGGGTGTCACCCAGCTCTGTCCCTGGGGCTCCTCACTCCCGGGTGGGGATAACCCCGGGAAAGGCCCAAAGGAGGCTCTTGGCACAAGTGCGAGTGAAGCAAAGCATGCAGGTGCCACCCCGGCCGCGTGTGTGACTCGCTCCTCGTTCCTAGGACACGGGCACTGGTCCTGATTGTGCCCCTAACCCCCACCCCCCCCAGCCTTCATCAGTGAGGAAGGTAATGCTTTGGCCTCCATCTGTGTTTTCATTTCATCTCTCAACTTGTCCAGAAGTTGGCTGGGCGAAGGGCACTGCTTCAGGAGCGACCTCTCAGAGGGTACCTGTGGGCTACAAATGCTGCGGACGGTCAGGGCGGGAGGCCACGCGGACCGAGAGATCTGGGAAGGCCTGGCTGAGGAGGCTGGTGGAACACGGCTCAGGAGTAGAGGCCTCCTCTCGGTGGAGGCCGCAGGCACCAGGGCGCAGAGAGAAGCAGAGACGGGTAGGAAGCAGTGGCCTGACATCTCCTTGGGAGAGGTGGCAGGCGGGTGAAGACAGGTGACAGTTCCTAGCAGTCGGTAGAGGGCAGGCTGGCCAGTCGGTCAAGGTCAAGGGATGCTTCCAAAGTCTTGCCAGGTCCAGGAGCGGTGACAGGGGACGGAGTCACTGACGGGTTCGGGGAGGATCGGCGGGGCAGGCTGGGAGGCTGCTGTGACGGGGCCATGGTTCCCTGAGGTCAGGATGTGGGTCTGGCCTGGGGAAGTGGCCCTGAAAACCGGGCAGAAGGGACCACAACAGGCCTCAGGAGGAAGCAGGCGGCCATGGAAACTGGCTGGCAGGGGCGTGGGAGACACAAAGGTTGACCTTGGACCCCACAGTGGGCGAGCACAGCCTGGCAGGGCCTGGGGAGCCATGGGGAGAGCCCACACGGAAAGTTACACGCGTGAGTCACTGGGTGGGATCTGCTCCCTCCCAGGGGGGGACATAGAACCAGTACAGGAACAAATGGGAAAAGGAGCATCTTCCCTAACCATCAAAGGCAGACGAGGCTGCCATGAGATCCCTTCTCTGGCCCATCGAATGCAGAGAGAAGTGTAAAGGACAGCACACAGGCAGGCAGGCAGGTGAGCACAGACTGCTCTGTGTGATCCTCAGCGGGGGTCCAAATGCCCCCTGCCCGCTCTACACCGCAAGCGGGTATCATAAACCCCCAAAACGCCAGTTCTGTGGAAATGGGGCGAGGGCAAGCGCCACCCCCATAGATATCAATACAAGATCGTCTATCAAGGTTGGGAGTAA